CCCTGCTCAGCAGGAAGCCTGCTTCTCCCTCTCCCACTCCCCCTGCTTGTGTTCCCTCTCTCGCTGTGTCTCTCTCTGTCAAATAAATAAATAAAATCTTCAAATGTGAAATAACATATTCCTCAGCAATAACGGAAATCCTATTTCTCTCTTCCATTGTGTGATTTAAATTTTTTTATTTAAAAAGCATAGAGTTTTTAGAAGCTTTTTATTTTATTATTCTGTTCCTGCCTCATCTCTTGACTTTTTTCTCTTCTTGAATGTCCTCCTTCTTTGACACTAAAGTCAGTTGAGAAAATATTATTCTTAATCACTCTGTTTATGGTTCTGCTTTGACTTTCAGACCCATCGGCCATGACATTAAAAGAGGGGAATGCGTTTTGGCCAAAGGAACCCATATGGGCCCCTCAGAGATTGGTCTTCTGGCAACTGTAGGTGTCACAGAGGTTGAAGTTAATAAGTTTCCAGTTGTTGCAGTCATGTCGACAGGGAATGAGGTAAAAAAAAAAAAAAAAAAAGCGGAGAAAGAAACAGGGAAGGTAAAGCATTAGAAAGCGGGGGGGGGGAAGGGTGGAAGGGGGAGGTAATTGGACTTTCAGGTAAAAGTCTTTTTGACTTCTGTGTTGTGAATAGAACATTGTGGATTATAGATTTTACCACATACCTGTAACAAGGAAATAATAAATTGGCCTCAGGATAGTTCAAGTACAGAAGATAAGAAGGAGGAAGACTAGAAATTACATATTGAGAAATGTTCCCTTCCATTGATTAGAATAAACTATTACAACCAATGACCTTTGCACACACTCAGTACATATAAACAAAGAATGTTGACTGCTAGCTATAGATGTTCAACTATGCAAATTTAGTGCTCAGTCTATTAGGACAATGAATTCTACCTACCCTGCTGAGATGATGGGCCATCTCTGTGTGGGAAATAAATCAATGAATTGGGATACAGTGGTTAGCCCTTCATCTTCCTGGAAGTTCCATGTGATCCTTAATCACCAGGAGGAATTTGATAATCTTTTCTCTTTTTCTCCAAAGATAGCATCTCTAGTGGCATGCTTCTCAATATGTCAAATGTCATTTCAGCCCTGATTTAGGATGGAGATTTAGTCAATCTTTCTCTGAAAACTTTTGAAAAATTTCCTGTTCCATGTTTTGCTTAGGTTATACAAAAAGTCAGAGGTTCTAATCAAACTGGGAATATTGAAAAATGGATCTGCTCGTAATTCAAAGCCTAAGAACAGAATCAGAAACTATTGAGATTTTTTTAGACCTTTAGACCTTACTATTTTTTAAAAAATTAACAGGATTTCTTTTTTTTTTCTCCTTTAATCTCTAATTTTATTCTGAAAATAAGCCATTTATTTGTTATCATTATTTTTAACTTCTTAAAGTCTTGGAAATGAACATTTTCAAAGGTCTCTCCATTACCCTTATAGTTCTTTTAGAAAGGGCAAAAGAAAAGAATAGAGTATTTGTTTCGCTAATGGAGAGATGAATCAGGATTCTATACCCAGTATAGGTGTACTGGTCATTCCCTAAAACTATTGATTGACCCAAAACATTCTTTTCAATTGATCTACATAGTGAAGATTTTAATATCCCTAGGACCAACTGACACTGTTTAGCATCAGAAAGAAATTCTAATAAACTGGTTGACTTAATGAACTATTCTTATTTGTGATATATTTATATGCTTTGTGCATCTAAGTGAGTTCATGGGGTTGGGAAAGCTAAAGAGAATGAGCAAATTCATAAATAACTAGTTATTAGGCAATTTTGTTTAAGCTATATTTCTTGTATTCGTCCTGATGTTTTTGTAGGGCTGGACTATAGTCTCACCTATCCTTTTTAAAGCTATCATACATTCTGTATTAAAACTATTTGCTAGTGAAAAAAAAGTGATGGGGTAAGACTAGAGATGATACTTACATCATGGAATCTAAGGAAGAATTTGTAGTCCTAGTTTCCTGCCTCCATAGGCTTGATTATCCTTGGAGGGGCTTTGATAGATGCTATTTTCTGTGGCTTACTGTATTTATCATAGCTTTCCAAGGGAATAATGTTTCTAAATCTCCAAATCCACATTCTAAAATAATGTTTCTAAATCCATAATCTCTGGTTCCATATAGCTCGGCATTCCTTCCCTATTTCCATCCAAGGTTAGCTGTTATTATGACTCTCTGTGATTGTATAGTTTAGCTCAACAAATGTTTGTTGGGTACCTCTATGCCAGGCATTATACTGGAAAATGGGGATAAAAGAAATGAATAAAATATAGTATCTCTTCTGAAGGCTTGAGATCTTAGATAGACAGAAAATCATAGGAAAAAATTATTTATTTTCAGAGAGGCCAAAAGAAATTACACTTGTCTGTTAATGTGGCAAGTCTATAATTTAGTCAGTCACAGCTCAAGCTCCCCTTAAGTGCTAACTGATTTCCCCTGATATGAGTAGCTTCACATATGTCCACTTTTGAATCCAGTGTGGTATGATAGTAAGCAGAACAGTGGCCTGGGGCAACCCAAAGAATGCCGTACAAGATGTCTGTGTATACTGTCTTTAAAACCTGCCCAGTATTTTGTGACTACATGTGTTTATTTGGGATGAGGGAATTATATCAAAATTGGGGAGGTACAGTTGTGAACTAAAACTAATACAGAACAGTCGATGTAGACATTGGTTTGTTTCAACAAACTGTGTATGTTAACATTTAGGTAATACCATCCAGTAATTACGTAACTGTGGCATACATTTCCAACCTTGTGTATTTGTTCAATAAATATTTATTAAGCATCTATTACATGTTGGAATGCCCATCAGGGATTATGTTAACTAAAATCAGACTTATAAGATGTGAATACACTGTATCATGAACCAGTTTATTTAAAAGGATTTGAACAGGAAACTCAGTGTCCAGCAGGGCTGCATCAGACTTTCATCTTCAGTGGAACTAGTCCTCTTAGTCATCTACACAGCCATCCAAGAGCTATTCTCTTTTTTCTTCAAGTGACATTTAGGTGCAAGGGAACAAGAATTATACTGGGAGAGTATAGGAGCCACCAACTTAGAAGCATATCCTACATAAGAATCAATGTTTCTTATAACAATCTTAGACAGCTTCCAGGGTCCCTATGAGGGAAATGTCCAGATACAAGTGTCACCATATTCACAGAAGCCCAAAGCTGTCACTTCCCACTAGGTATTTATAGTTCCTTTATAGTTCCTTCTAGTCCATTTGCAAGTTACCAATCACAGATTATTTTTGCCATAAGAAATGCTGCCTAGTAACAAGCTGACATTTCATCTTTATCAAATTTCTAGGGAAACAGAACTAGAAAGTTAACCCACGCTCAGATTTGTCCTTAGAGATGGAAAAGGGTTTTGTTAACTCTTTACCCTCACATAATAGGATGCATTGGCTGTAGAAAATTAGAAAATAATAATAAAACTGACTACAAGCTATTCTGCTTTTTATCATCACCATGCGCTGGCAATTCTAAGCAAAGTCAGTGATAAAATATGCTGCACTGGGGCAAACCATTTCCACCACCCCTCCCCATTTAGTATGCTACCATACTGATGCCAGGCACTGTTCTGACTGCTCAGGATATAGCAGCAAACCAGAAAAACAAATTCCTTATTCTTACAGAATTTATATTCTGATGGAGGCAGGGTAAGGGAGATAGTCAATGAACAAATAGTGGTAAGTGGTATGAAGAAAAATAAAGGATAAGATGATAAAGACTCGTAGTAGAAGAAGTATATGCCAGATATTACCTGTTGAAGCCTACCCTGCATCAGCCCTTTCATACTCTCCCCTATACAATAAGGCTGGAAGGCTGAAAACCCAATTTCCTGGGCTCTGTTTCCAGCTGTGGTCCTGTTAGGTTTTGTCATTGGAATGCATTAACACAATATCAGAAGTTGGAAAGAAGTTAGCAGAAGTATAAGCTCCTCAATCCTCAGTAACATCACTTTCCCCCAGCAGCCCTAGGGACAGTGGTGACTTCCTGATCGTTGGAGACACACTTTTCTCCTTTTGTTTCTCCAACCCTCTCAACACATTTGTAACCAATTCCCTGTATTAAATCCTTTTTTCTTCCACTCCTCTTCATATGAAATACCTAGATGATTTGGTTTTCCTTTCCAGACCTGAGTGATAGAGTCTTCTGTTTTATATAGGGTAATCAGGCCTCACTGATGAGGCAAAATTAGAGTGGAAATCTGAAGGTACTAAGGGTGGTGCCAGCTATGTGAGGGGAATTGAGTTACAAGCAGAAGGAACAACAGAGACAGAAAAACCCTGAGGTAGGGTGTATGCTTGTCATGTTTGTGGCTGAAGTTTAGAAGGAAAGGAACAAAGTAAAAGGAGATGAGGTTGGGGAGATAACAGAAACAAGACCATTTTATTCTAAATAGTTTTGAGAAAGGGAAACATAACATGAAACATAACGTGTCTTAAATTTTTAAATGTTTACTCTGGCTTCAATATGGCATGGCATATAGGAGAGAAAAGGGAAAAAGCAGGGAGACTAGTTAGAAAGACATATAATATCCAGCAAGAGATTTGGACCAGAGTGGTAGCAGTGGAGATGGTGAGAAATAATAAGGATATATTTTGAAGGTAAAGCCAACAGGTTTTACTGGTGAATTCAAAGTAGAATATAAAAGAAAGTGAGGAGTCAAGATAAACTCCAAGGATTTGACCTGATCAATTCTAAGGATAGTTATCACTTACGCAGGTGAGAAAAATCAGGCAGCAGAAATCAGGCTTCTGTTTTGGACATGTTAAGTTTGATATACTTGCAGAGGAGGAAAAGATGGTGGAGGAGTAGGGGACCCTATTCCAACTGGTCCCCTGAATTGAGCTGGATATCTACCAGACCACTCTGAACACCCACGAAATCAGCCTGAGATTTAAGAAGATCTATCTGGATCTCTACAAACAGAACATTGCAGGCGGTTGGTTTCGAGGTATGAAGCGGGGAGCTGTGATTCCATGGGCAGATATCGGAAGATAAACGAAAGGGGGGAGGGAGCCTTTGGGATCCTGCTTCCCGCACTGGGGACAGGGCACAGACTCGCAGACCGGTAGCAGTGGGGAAAGGACTTTAGGGCAGCCCCCCAGACTGAACCCTGGAGCTGCAGGGTCGCGCATGTGAACTGAGGGCAGCTGGCGGTTTTAGAAGCACAAAGGGCAAAAATGTGCCTGGACCTGGAAGCAACAGCTGAGAGCGCTGCTAAGGGGCGCACAACCCAGGACACTGCAGTTTCTAGCAGCACAGACAGAAACGGAGATAGTGTGGCCTGGAGAGCTCACTGAAAAACAGACTGCAATCTCTCGATCTCTCTGTTCTGAGGCAGAGGGATGGAAACAGTCTCTTCTGCTCTGAGTCTAGGAAGAGACTTGGAAAGCCCCCAGAGAACGAAAGCCTCCAAAAACCAGTTTTCACTGAGCCCATCCTCCCCCTCCCCCACAGGGGGC